TCTCCTATAGTCAAACTGCCAGCCACTTCCACCACAAACCACTCTACACTCTCTCACACACACACAGAAAAAAGACCACCACACTGCCATGCCACTTTCAGCAATGGGCTTGACACAACCAACATGGTTCATACTTTATACAGCCTGACTTCTAAAATAATGACCCCAAATCACATTAATTGACCTCAATTACAGTAAAAAAGACTCAGATGATCATCATCCTAATTCCTAACCAGTCAGTCCACCAGACTTGGCCAAACTCTGTTGTAAGAAATTGCCAGTTTCCCCAGAAAATACGGTGCTGTTGGATACTCTAAAGAAGGTTTGTTTTGGGATTTCACTTGCTTTCTGCTTTAAGCACCATATATTCCCAATCAATAAATCTCCTCGCTGTAGCATACCCTCAACTAATTTGATGTTGATTTTCCGAAATTTCAAGTGACATGATTCCTCCTTCAAAAGCTAAAGTTGAATGATTGAAGTCTCCTTTAGGTTAGGTCGAAGAGATCAAAGTGAAGTCATCAATTCACCCATTCGAATGGTCTCCCCCAAGATTGATCTCTTTTCCAAATAAACCAAACCTTGATACCACATTCATCAAATATATATGGCCATCAGTTAGTTTTCTTAAAGCAAGGTGATCCTCCTTTTTGTTGTCCAATACTATTCGCAGCTCCTTTGAGCTCTATCCTTAGGAACTAAATTCTGTAGCATAGCTAAACCCCTCTCTACCTTGAGATCTCGTCCTGACCCTTAGTAAGTCATAATTACTCTAATGGTTCACATAAGGCTACAGTAGATGGATTTTCGAAGAAATGAGGTTGCCGTAAGAAGAACCTTGTGGAGATCTCAGAGAGCCTCTCTCAAAGAAAAAAATGAAGGTAAGTGACAATAAAAGTAGTTGTGGCAATGGGTTGGGTCAAGGGTTAGATTACTCTTACAAATAATAAAAAGGAAATTCACCAAACCAGAGAGGTGGAGCAAGCTAGTTTAAGTTGGGTAAGACTATGTGGGGCAGGCAAGGATATATGGGAAGAAATGATTCCCGCCCCATTGCCATCTTTAAAGAGTTAGTAATGAAGTTGTTAGCATTCTAGTTAATTTGGTTAACTCCACCTAAAAGGCCAACTCGCTTGGTATGCAAAATACACTAGTTAATGTGTTATGCTTAACAAGAGACGAGAACAACCATGCTTACAAGTAACCGTGCACACCTCATCATTTAAAAAGGCGGTGCATGAGCCATAAGGATATTTCAAGTCTTTTGAGTAGTAACAACTTATTGTATCTAACCTAACTTGCACGCACCTTGGCTAACCACTAGGTAGCGTGCTACAATGCAACAAGCAAAGGTTGCAGGTAATCTTGTCCACCAAGCCTAGAAGCATTTAAACTTAGCCTGAGTGTTGTATCAGGGGAATCAAACCTCGGATCTACAGTCCAATATTTCAATCACCCGATCATCCCCTTGAGAAAACATTAATGATTATTTCTTTTTTCCATTTCCTATTTTTATTCAGCAAGACATTATTTTAGTAAAGGTTAGTAATCCAGTTACAGTTACAGACAATCCAACATCTTGGTTCCAAATCTCTACCAAAACACACAGCAATCAAGAACTATACCAAGAGTATAGCATGACGTTCAGCATTTTGGCAACATGTGTAATTACTACCTATACTATCAACAACATCAACTAAAATACTTCCACATTGGGCTTACCAAGCACTTACCTGCTGCTCATGCCGTCCACTTGGCGAGCGTTCCGCTCATTATCCTGATTTTTCTTTCGTTAGGTTGACCAATGAATAAAGTTTAAACTTTTATTCATGAATACCACATTATGTTTCTAGACATGGGTATAACAATGACACCCGTGTAATCCCACAAGTGCAATTTGGGGGAGGGTGGCGTGCACGCAGCCTTACCCCTACCTTTACCTTGTGAAGGTAGAAACGTTGTTCCTACAGACCCTCAGCTCAAGTAACAAAATATAAGATGCATTACCCATTAAGTCATAAATTCCATAATATAGCTCATGCATCAGTCTACAAACAAATCAAAACAAGTGCTAACTAATATAACAATCGAAAACCCAAAAATCATAACAAGATAATCCATTGAGCAATTCACAAGTCGTATAACATTATTACTCCATAATTAAAGATCAAAGCAGTACAAGAAAAACCCAATTCACTAAATATCCCATACCATATAAGTACCAGCAAAAGAGTGGCAGATCCGATTGGAAAACCCGAAACGCGATCCAAATCGTTCACTTCAATCCTGAGCCTTCAACTTCTCCACACGCTTATTCAACTGCTCAACTTTAACAACAAGTCCAGTAACAGAATACAACAGCCAGTAGAAAACAAGAGCAGATGCGATGAGAAGCGCGTTACGCTGAGACTTCATAATCGATTTCTGATGACGGAGGTGCTCCGATGGGGAACAAGATTCGGCTGATTCACAAGTGGGTCGGGTCTCATACTTCCAGTATATATCCATTAACAGGAAGAGACAAAAGGGTACGATCGAGAGAAACGGTTTGAGAAGATTTCGGGTCACGGCGATTAACCCTTTACGAAGTGGGTCAAGACCCGGAATTGTTAGGAGAAGGAGCATGATTGCTTCTGCACCCGCAGCATAGCTGAGAACAACCCATTCCAACGCCATTGATGATTGATCGAAGAATTGAAGGCGCTTTTTTTTTCTCAGAGAAGATGAAGAATAGTCTTTTGATTAATTAAGAAGGAAAGTATCAATTATAAAGTGTGAAAAAAAGAATTTGGGCCATATTGATTAAAGTCCATCTTGCAAGTTTCCCAAATCCCAATAACAATAGAAATTGTATTTGGTAGCCAATTTCATTTTCACATGTGTTATTTAAGTTATCGTATTTATTTTTGGCAAAATTGCCTAATTTACATGAGTGAAGGTCTTTTATTTAATAATTACCACTTTTAAGTATACTTTTAATTTATTATCATTTTTGTCAACTTTTAGCAATACTTACTTAAAATAATTTTGTTCCTTTTATGTAATTAAAGAATTTAAACTTAGCAAAAAGTGTTGTCATTCACAATTTTTAGCAATACTGTCATTCAACCAAATTGTTATATATGGTTAAAAGAATAATGTTAACAAATATCGTAAAAAAAAAATTAAAAGTGTACACGTAAGTGATTTTCTCCCTAATAAATATTTATATCATCTTTATTAATTCTTTTCAGAAAAATTACATATCAAGTAATTTGGTACATGCATTTTGGCTACCACATACTCTGAAATACATATTTATAGGGGGAGAGGCAAAGGATGGAGTATCTGTCTCTCAGATATATGTGAATCACTATAAATATATGCAAACGAAATTTCAGATACATTCTGAAATACATATACAAAGGGAAATAGGTCACAGACAGAGAAAGACGAGAGAGAGTTAAATACATGTAAATCAACTTTGATGCAGTGTATCTAGCATAAATTACACCTTATTTTAATCTCATATATCTGAGATACATGTATTTGAGGTCCAAATTTTAAAAAAAATTGTAACATTAAAAATTAACGTTGAAGGAAAATAATTTGCTCTTAAACTAGTGAGATTTGTGTTGTTTGCATTATGTTTTTAAAAAAGTAGTTAACACGTAAACATTATTGACTAGGGGTGTCAAAAATGAACCCAAACATAGATAACCCGCCCAGAATTTTAAGGGTTGGACTCAAAATAATTTGAAAGAAAAATTACTTGAATGGGTACCTTTTAATAAATAATTACTGATTTTAGCAATACTTTTTATTTATTACCATTTATAGCAATACTATGTTAAATCTGCAATATGTATTAAAAGTGAATTATGTATGCAATATATATGTATTATAAATGTTTGCATATATATATATATATATATATATTATGCGTGCTTGGTAAGAATTTGACACATTGTATTATAAGTGTATTAAAATGTGTGATAAATGTATTATTCATCAATAAAACTTGTATTATATGTGAATAATAAATTGCTCTTTGTAATATGTATTAAAACTGTATTATTAAAACTGTGTTATAAATGTATTAAAAGTGATCAAGTGAAAAAAAAAGTTATTGCAATAAATGGTAAAAAAAATAATTAATATAGTATATTTATGTAAGTTTCCCTTTGATTTGGATTCAATCTCAACTCATTCAAGCCTAACACATTTTAAGAGAATCCTCAATTGAGCTCAATTCGAGCTCCAATTTCAACCTGTTTTAAAACTCTTTACTAAGATATGTTCCTATATTAAATGTATGAATTATTATCTATTTAACATCTTTTAGGATTTATCTATCCATTTGTTACTTTAAAAAAAAATAATCTTGAGTTAAAATTCGAATTGTGATTATAAAAGTTAAATATTACTATGTTAAAATTATTGAGAATAAGTGGGTCAAATTGAGCGGATCAAGACCTAATCCATTTTTTAACTCATTTGAGCCCAAAGTAAACTTGGGCGGATCAAGACCCAACCCGATTTATATTTCAACTCATTTTAATATCTTCAATTTCAACTCAACCCGCCCATTTGACACCCCTAGTGACTATTGAGAAACTTCGGACATAGCTCATGCAGGTGTGGAAGATTATACTGTTAGTTTGATAGTTCTAACTTTTAATCTAAATATTTGAAGTTTGAAGTTTCAAATTGCATGAATAATATGCAACTCCATATACATAAATTTGGAGTTAGATTTTGACAATCCAACACTAGTAACTTTAGTTGGAATTTTCAACTTCAGCTGATAAGTATGAATAACAATCGTCTAAGCAAATAATTATTGTGTGTCCCCTTTGTAAATAAGTTATTTCATTTAACTTACAATATCCGTATTTTATGTTTATAGTATTCTTTTTATTTTTTTTATTTTTTTTCATCTGATGTTCGATACCTATTTCTTAAGGTAGGACTTAAGGTAGGACAAATTTGGATTTGCGCTAGAAGTTCCATTGTTGGAGTTTATACGCAAATTATAGAAAGTACATTAAGCTTGGATACAACAAAACCTTATTTATTCTACAAGTACTTTGTTGCATCCATTCAATTCCACAACTTGTGACAACGTACACAAACAACTATCCCTAATTTTTATTGTACCATAACCAAGATTTTATAACTTGCTAGTGATATTAATATTCCTAACTTTAGATGTTTTTGGAGTTGCATCTTTTGGTACAACAATGGTAAGAACACCATTTTCAACTTGAGCTTTGATTTGATCCACCTTCACATCTTCCGGCAGCTCGATTTCCCTCGAGAAATCGCCACCTCTCCCTCCTCCTCGCTCCGCCACATGCCACACTACATCCTTATCTTTACCGTGGAATTCGTCCTTCTTGCCGCCGTGCCCCTCCGCCTTCACCACCAACACATTTCCATCTTCAACTTGAACCTTTATATCCTCCTTGCTATACCCTAAAAAATTCATTTCAAAACTTCGCATAAACATCTTTCAAAGATTGCATCCCATAGAGTATGAACAATAAAAATATTCAGTATAATTTTATACGTGGAGTCTTAAAACCTTTGTCGGATAGAGAGACTCTCTCTAATAAACCCTAGACTCAAAAGTAAAAAAAATTGAAGCATGTTGGCTAGAAATTTAAAGAGTAGATCTTGTAATTACACCTACTATATTATGCCTCAACTTCAAGTAAAGGTAGATTCAAACTTTGAACTCTATGTGCTCTAAATCTAAATGCCACTAAATTCACTAATTATATTAGTACACTATGTTCCAAATTAAATATTTGTATGTGTGAGATAAAACTAGTGCATTCAGTTGAACCCGTAGATTTACTTATACACTTGTTTCTGATCTCAAACAAGTTAAAATCGACTATATAAACCTTAGGTTATAGTCAAATTCAAGCACGATAACTCACATGTTGTTACATGTCTTCCGTTAATAATTTAGTTTTTACTTGCATTGAATGTTTTCTCTTGAAATTTTAAATTCCCTCTCCGATCGCAACAGATTTACAAAAATTGAATAGCAAAGTGAAGAAATAAAACCTGGAACATTGATTTTGAAGATGTGAGAATTAGGAGATTCAATCCAATCGAGAAGAGCAGGAGAACCAGAAAAGCTTCGATAAATCGTCGGACTCAATAAGAATCTTCTAAAAGGATCACCAAAAATCGCCATTTTTTTTTATTTTTTTATTTTTAATTTTCTTTTATGTATCTGTTTATTTTAGGAGGAGAATACTATATATATAAAGAAATGGAGGTTTAATGGAGTTTTTTCTAGAAGCTCTGGAAGGTTCTGTAAAGCTTATCTTTTGGTACATTGGAGAAGATGAGGTAGGAGATGATTATCTGTGGAGATCCCTATGATAATTACTCTGGTCTTGAGTTAAAAAAAATTTGAGTTGGGCTTTTAGTTTAAGTTTGTTTTTGGGCTTGAATTTATCATTTCAAAGAGGCTAAATCTTAAATTTTTGAATAGATTGATATATTGGAAAAACTTCATAATATGACAAACATCCATATATATTCAAGAAAAATAGCTACATTTTTTTTGATGTTATATGGATATAATTAGACTATAAATAGCAAAGTTATTTGTATACAAATAAATAAAAAAAAATTATATATATTTAATTTAATAAATAAATATTAATTAGGAAAGTAATTATTGAATGCCTAATTAATTATGGCAGGCACATTTGTGATCTTTTCCCATGTTTACCATCATCAAATTTTTCTCTTTCATCAATATTCATACATGACATATTTTCTAATTTTTTTCTCCCAAATTCATTCAAATTCAAGATCCATTACATCACTGCAGAAGCGATTTTTGTGATTTTGTATCCATCATGTATTTTCTAAATGCATATTTGTCTCGTTTTTATGAGCATTATATATCTACACATCTACACTTTCTTCTATTTTCATAGGGTTTTGATTCAAGAATTTGTTTATCCATTTCAATGGCTAAAATTGATACTCCAAGGAGGGTTATGAGAGGTATACATTTATTTGACAAATTATTGGATGAACTACCTTCTTTTGATTTGTGTATTACTCAACAGCAAGCCAAAATTTCAGGCTCTATTGCTGCAATGGAGAACGAAAGAAGAACAAAAAAGGTTAATGACCATATATACCCTTAAATTTGCTTGAAGAAATCGAACATGCAAAATTAGTAAAGAGGAAACAAGGTTCAGAAGTGAAAACTAATCTTGAAAAAGGAGAAAAATCAACAATATTGATTCAAGTGGGTGTGAAAAAAGAGCAGTCAAGCAGGAACAAGAGAAAAATTAATGGAATTGAGATTTGTATGTTTTTTTTTTTGTTTAATGTCATTTACTTATATATCTTAACACATGTATTGTGTGTCATTGTCATTATGGATTGTCCTCTTATATTGAAATTGTTAGAAAATTTGATTTCGTATGTATATAGTTGTTAAAAAATGAGTACAAGAAGAACATGAACAAAAAAGAGATTGAGGGTTCTCTCATTGTCAATTTGTATATAGTAGAATACTTATATACATAGACATTTGTATTATTATATAACCACAAGTTGAACTGTTGATCTGTGAATACAATTATATTTGAATACATAAGTACTCTGTCAAATTTAA